GTGTCTATCTTTTTCGATCTCGAAAAAGCATATGACACTACATGGTAAAATGGTATTTTAAAAGATTTACATAACTTTGGATTGCCAAGTCGTTTGCCTCAGTTTATATCCAACTTTTTAACAGACAGACAATTTCAAGTCCGCGTGGGTACTACCCTGTCTGATTATTATAATCAGGATCAGGGCGTCCAACAGGGCAGTATTTTGTCTGTCACATTATTCAGCATTAATATCAATAGTTTATCGAAAGTTTTAAATGATTCAGTTGATGGATCACTTTTTGTGGATAATTTTAATATATCTTGTCGTTGTAAAAATATGCACACAATAGAAAGGCAATTACAATTATGTCTCAATAAAATTCACAAGTGGTGTCTAGAGAACGGGTTTAAATGTTCCAAATCAAAAACTAACTGTATACATTTCTGCAGAAAATATATATAACCGCACAAGGACCCTGAACTTTTTCTAAATAGCACCCCTATCAAAGATGTGAAGGAGGCCAAGTTCTTGGGACTTTTTTTATAACCATTTAACTTTCCTCCCACATACTAAATACCTAAAAGCCAAATGTCTGAAGGCACTCGATTTATTGAAAGTAGTTTCTAACAACCCACTTACATTTGTATAGATCACTGATCCGTACAAAACTTGATTATGGCTCCATCCTCTATATAGCCCCTACTCAACTTGAGTCTATTTAAAACTATTAATTTGCCAACAAGAATAGCATCAATAAAGAAACACTTACTACACTTATACATCTATATTAACAGATGGATCCAAGGATGGTGGCGCAGTTGCTAGTGCCACTGTCATTGGATCCAGAACAGTATCTTCACGATTACCCGATAACAGTTCCATATTCACAGCAGAAGCATACGCCATTTTTACAGCACTAAACTATATCAGTAATCAATCTAAACATTAACAATTCATTATTTTTTCTGATTCACCTTCGTGCCTTCAAGTGATTAAAAATATGTCATCGAACCATCCACTTTTAATCCAAATTCTCGAATTAATTAATGATCTTGCTACTGGCCAATATGACATCGTCTTTTGTTGGTTACCAAGTCATGTTGGTATCATTGGTAACACAATGGCTAATGCTGCTGCAAAAGCAGCACTCAACAAATCTTTGACAACACTTTTACCATACAGTGATTATAAACCTATAATTAGATCTTACATGCGTGATCTGATGCAAAAGAAGTGGGACACCCAAGTGGGTATTAATAAATCACATGAAATTAAACCAAATATTGGTTACACCCACTTGGGCTGTCAGTCCAGATTTGAAGAGGTCATTACGTGACGATGTCGTATTGGCCACTCGAGATATACACATGAGTATATATTAAAAGGTGAGGATCCTCCGTTTTGTGTCCCTTGTGATGAAAGAATCACGGTCAAGCATGTCCTGCTTGACTGTATTGATTTTTTCATCACAAGGGATAAATATTTAAGTGTAAAAACAGTGAAGTACCTTTTTAGTAAAGTTCATTCTCATTTAATACTATGTTTTTTAAATGAAACAGAACTTATTCATAAATTTTGATGTGGTTTCTGTATTGTTTTAAAAATTGATAGTGCTAATTAATAACTTGATTATAAGTGGATGTACCCTCGAGGGGGGTTGGAGTAGCGTAAAATTATTGTCCCCCTAAGAGGGTATGTAAGTCCCACATCATTTGAAGTATTTTTCTGCATGCCATGCTTTTAATCGTAGAATATTCGTCATTTTAATCTTTGGCTTAAATGGTACACTGTCGCCAGTGACTGAAGTGATATAAATCCTGCCGGGGTCCATGCAGGAAGCAAAGGCACAGTAAGTCCCCATGGTCCCTAGTATGGTGTCTCCCTTTAGTTACTGACGATCTCTAGCCCATTTTTATATTGTGTTGTTCACCAATACTTTTATATATTCTCAACTAGTTTTAAATAGACTCTGTGATATTCTAGTTATTGTAATGTCCATCGTTGACAGCTTTTTCTAGTGTATAAATATATGCATTATTAATGAACTTCTCGTCACGATATGGCTGAAATACTGCCGATGTGACGTTAAATCTTAACTCACTCACTCACTCCAGACAATTCCTTCTAAACTAATTAACTGATTGCAATTAAACTTTGTTCGCGTGACAACTTCAATTAAGTTGGGCACATAGCAATTATTTTGCTCAGTTTTATTGCCCTATATTACTTCTTCATTTCAATTTGTCTGGACAACTTCTTAACTACTACATTAGTACATAGGTACGGACACTGACTTATTTCCATTACCATTGTGTTACCAAAGAAATTGTCCGATTTCGTTCAAATTCAGCCTATTGATATGGTATGGGATTCAGTACCTCTTTCCCCCCAGCTACAATCAAGTGTCAACAAGAACAATCTTATGCTGCAGCGGATCTCCAAGCTGCAAAGACCGGGGATAAATGGGTGTTATACTCCAACACATTTGACACGAAATTTATTGGAGACTTACAGAATTAGGAGGTCAGCAACCTCAGATGGCCCCATGAACCACCTCCTTCTGGGCTTAGGGCTCTAACCTCCTTCTGGGCTCTAAGTATAGGATAAAACACGTCCGAGGGTTGTTATGATATTTAAAACCCGCATCCCGAGGGATTGTCTGAGGGAAAGGGTTTTAAATATCATAACGACCCGAGGGGAAGTGTTTTATCTTACTTATAAACCGATTTTGAACCTTAAAATTATCCCCAAACTAATTTCAACCCACAGGGTAAGCCATGTCGCAAAACGCATCGCGAGAAAACAACTTGCACGTGCTAGTTACTGGGGTTAACCATGTGCTCTCTCAGTTGTATTCTGTCCTGCACTCAGAGAAGACGCGATGGACAGCGTAGATGAAATCCACATTTAGAAAGGAGGAATCCGAAAGTGATGATTTTCAATACAGGTTTGGAGAGCCCTTATGTGGTAAAGAAATTGAAGAGAAATTAGAGGTGTGTGTTCAAGTTGGGGGTGTCCGTATTTTCAAGGTGGCAAGAAGAGAGACGGTTGCGGCCCATGAAAGACAACCTTGAATTGCCAGCAGCATGCTTGTACACTCCAATATTGCAAATGGATAAAGAATCTTTGAATATTGCTTTGAAATACTTTCTCTTTGAAACAAGAAAACAAAATGGCTCAGAATATCCCGCCAACAGTGTGTATGCACTCTTCGCAGCGATTCAGTCAGCACTGAGAGAGAATGGTACAGTCATAAACTTATTTGAAGATGATGAATTTATTGAAGCTCGCATGTGTTAAGATGCTGCATTGCCCAATCTCTCGCAGAAGGGTTTAGGAAGTTCCAGTAGGAAAATGACCGAAACCATATCATGTGATAAAGAGGAATTACTCTGGAAAATGGATCATTGGGTGAAGACAATCCAAGACAGCTGCGTGAAACAATATTGTATCTCACAGGTACATATTTTTTCATGTGTATCCATATGGTTTCAATTTTAAAATATGCATTTCCCTATGTTCAGGACCACACAATTTTGGTTTAAATGAGACTATTTTCCCAGCCACAAATAACAGCCCCGCACGTGGATGAGAAAGGTAGACGTTATCTTTTGTACAAAGAGGATGTGTCCAAGACAAATTATGGAGGCCTGAAGGACCGCAAAGTACCACCTAAAGAAGTTCGTAGGGTGTGTAAGAATTCCGCATGCTGTCACTGGACATTAAAGTTGAAATGCCTTTGCCCACGCAATGGGTTGTGATGCTCCTTTATTTATTAACGCCATTGTAGATGTTTCACATGTGAAGAGCGAGCAACCGCGGTTGTATGGGCCTGTTTTTCATGCACAGGGCGACACAGTCATCACATCATTTCCCCAGCACAGGTAGTCACAGCAGAAGATCGTGATATTGGAGACAGTATTATACATTCTTCAAAGCCAAAGTTTTAAATGTGTTTATAAGGGGGCACGGGTGGCCCAGTCGTTTAAGGCGCCGCGATTCGCTGTGCAGAGTTGCGTCCCCTGGGCACGCCAGAAACCTATGATTGTGGGTTCGAAACCCGGTTCGCCCCTATTATGTTTCTAGGTTTGTCAGCACCATACCCGTGCTCGTGGGTTCACCGGAGTGGTAAACGTCTGAGACTTGCATCACTTTGGGCTTACCTCCCACACTAAGCTGACACGCCTTGATATAACTTGAATAATGTTAAAAGCGGCGTTAAACCCTACTCACATGTATGTAAATTACCCTCATGTGAAATTGTCTGATATGGCATGTATGGATGATGGTGTACAAAATCACTCTCCTCCTGAAATACATTTTGATTGGAAAGCTCTTTTAGTGTGTTGTTACCTGAATAACATTTATTCTGTATGGTTTTTTCAATGTTTCCCATCCCCACATCATCTATTTATGTATAATGTCATGTTTAGTGACATTTCTGTAAACTTAGCAGATTGAACTGATTAAATGTATGATTAACTCTGCTTCTTCAATACGCTTTGGAACGCACAATCTGTTCTAAGGCATATGTATCTACATTATTCTTCTATAATATACTTCTATATATACTTCTACTCTTAATGGCTGGTTATCATTGGACAAGCACAACCTCACGTATCGCGCATTGCTTTCGCGCCCTACTTTATCCACGTTTCAATGCTACTTTTACACTGCGGCAGTGTCATGTAGAAGCAGAATTGTTGACAGTTCTGCTCAATCTTTTTGATAACAATGATTCTGATGGAGTTGCTCTTTTCTTTGGCGACATATACACAATGTAAGGTAAAAACAGTATGACTTTGGGGTATTTTAAAGATACAAAATCAAACCCAAATAAATAAAACACAACCACAAAGTGCAAATATATTATGCACCTTAATCACTCTCACGAAAAGGATAAGCCCACTTATCAAGGAAAGCAGGAATGTCAATAACAGTAGAAACGTTGTATTGACCTTTTATTCAATATTTTGTTTACCTGGCTATATCTTCTATTACTGAAACGTTTGACATACCCCGATTCTTTTATGTCGTCATCTGTAGAACCAATGTCGATTTTGTCAACAATTGTAGGACACATATCTGCAAAACAAGTTTTCGTGTAAAAATGTTAGCTCATTTCAGAATCTTACCTTTTTTCTATCATTGAAATATTAAATTTCAATTGTAGCATCATATGATCTCCTGAATGTGTCACATCAGTGAGTCACTTAGGAAATATGAATTTTCTATTATTTACAGATTGAAAACACATACATTCATACTGTGAATCTTTGATAGAAAGAGTATGGGAAATGTAACCTATCTAAATTCCATCTTTCGACGGCACAATATATCATAAACTATGCATACAGTGAAAAAGTAATCATTGGCATTATTCAAACTAAAGTGTCAGATAAAAGAATCACAAAATCGAATTTGTATTCCAGAAAGTGAAATATGCGGCAGTTGCGTGGGGCGGTACATACATGACAGGCGAACTGATTTGGTTATTGTGAATGGACATTTGACTGGCCAGCGATATGTTAACGAAATTTTTCGTCCAGTCGTTGTTCCATTCGCCAGAATTATCGGCAGAAAGTTTGAAGTGCAAAATACCAGTGCCAGGTCACATCGTGCCCAGCGTGAACGGTGGAACGGCGGGCCAACAGTATGCCATCAAATAGTCGTGCATGTATTGTCCAACATGGTAGACACACCAGATGCCCCAAATTAATTTTACAGACATTTATCGTCATTATACCTTCACTATCATTGCATTAGTTTTCTTATTTTTTGTTGGTCGTATTATCACGTTTGTGCCGGGTTCTTACCTCTTACATTTACACTTATGTCCGCGCTATTAACAGATGCCAATCGATGGTGAGCTCGGCACATGTATGTGCCAGCGGTACTTGTGTCCACTTTGCACATCCGCAAGTTGGGTCTGACGTCACTACAGGAAGTGCTGGGTATTACAAATTTCCCATCACGCACCCACGTGATGTCTCCTGGAGAAACGAGGGGATACGAGTCCACATAGCACCACAAGGTTGTGGCAGATCCCAGGTAGAAACCATAGTTATTGTACTTGACCAAGACTGTTGGCGCATCTGAAAATGAAAGTTCCTGTACACATTGATTATATAAATGAAATGGAAAAGGGGCGTTCGTATTGGTACAGTTGATGATCCACAGAAGACAGTATGGCCAAAATGCGTTTCAGTTTCGTTAGAATATTCTGTTGTCTGAAATATAATTATATTTTTTGGAATATACTGTTATCGAAGGTAACCATATAAATGCGTTACGCGTGGGAGGGGAGGACTTCGGTCGTTAAAGCGCTCTGAGCAATTAGTGTTGTTAATGTTCATTATCCACAGTAACACGTAAGCTCTCTACTCTTGCATTAATGCAGTATGTGTGATCAGATTGAAACTTTATGAAAGCCTAATGGCTATTGGCATGCTTCAAACTGGTAGAACTCAGTGAGAGGTAACCAATATCTTCAATGTGTCCAAGTCTATGATTTGCAGACTTTGGAAAGGTTTCTGCAGACGCAAAATGTTTAATATTCGCCCCGCACAGGGTGACCTGTAGCAACAACACAAGTCTTCATTAGCGTTATGCCACCCGAGTTCAAGTTACTGACCAAACCAATAGAAATCGTCTGCATAAAAGGCGACCACAGTTTGTACCACCGTTAACAAATCGACACATTCTAGACAGATGCCATTATTATGCTTTCAGATGAGTTCGGGTTCACTTTTGACTTTCTGGATAGGCAGGGACGTGTTTTGAGGCGTCCTGACGAACATAAGACAACATGACATATTGGGTGTGGGAGGTGGGGTGGATTTGTGAAGATATTGAGTGGCATCACAATTACTGCCAGAACACCACTCCATATTGTTCTTGGACGGGGTCACTGGACAGTACTACCGGACAACATGCTGGTGCCAATGTCAAAGGCAACCCGCTACGTTAGCCGAACTGAGCTATGTCTAAACCACTCCTCCCTGACAAATAAAACATCGTGAGTAGAAATGAGTAAAATAAGGCGGCACTTCCTGGTTACATCAAAGAGTGCTTATCAAAGTCGGATTAAGGGATCAGACCGCGTGACGCTATATCCAAGCCATGAAATAACAAGCTTGAGGCGTGTATCGCATTTTGTTGTTTCTATCAAGTGGACAGACCAGATTATGATTTCTGCTATGCCTAATAAGGTACATGTAATTGTTAATAATTATTGCAGGCGAAATACATTTCAATTTGTCAATGTATAAACGTGTTGGGCTTTTAATTTCTTGTGTATAACTATTTATTACTGTGACTTGATCTGTCTGGATTTTCATGCCTCGATTCGAGAAAACGTTGATGAAGCCGGTTCTTTCCCCCCAACGTGTGCAGTCCGGGTGTTAGAACAGGTCTATAGAAACCTATGTTTGTCGTAAAATTGATCGGGAGCACAGCTTTGGTGAATTGGTTGAAAGTTTATCATCGTATTCCGACGGCGCTCATAACATCAATCACTGGTTTGTGTTTGTTTGTGCCAAGACTGTTGTTTACAGGCAACCGCCATATATGGTGAACAGTGATGATCATTTCGTTACACAAAAAAGATACTAGTCAACTGGTAATATCCTGCGCCTGATTTTAAATCTATCTCATCAATCACGAACACGCCAAAACTGAACTGTACAAAATTTAATATGATCATTGACGTTGATGACACGAAGGACGAAAGAATATTCACATTAGAGTTTGAGTAACATTCTCATGGTTAGACACCCAATCTCAGTGCCTGGTCTTCTATAAGGGCTGCACAAAAATGTAGTTACTTACATTCCACTGTAACATTGATGGCGTCAGACTGACTGTCGCCAACACCGTTGACTGCGCCACACGTATATCTACCGGTGTCCTCGCGCCTTATATCGGTAATAGTCAAGCTGGGATTGTATATATCCCCGTTACTATACCGACCAAAGTGAGTGTCGAGATTGACGCCATCTTTAAACCAGTGGACAATGGCGGGACTGGGTTTAACGCGCATATCCACGGAGCAACCTATAGATGATGTTTGTCCTTCTACCAACATTATGTTCCTGCGTGGCACGTGGACGTCTGGTCGAGCTGAAATTCAATCAAGGGTTCACCATTTTTGAATATGATAGTAAGTAAATTCATAGAATGAAAACCTGTTTCCGTTAATTTAATCGGTCTCCTTCCTCTTCAATTTTTTCCCTCCCACCAAAAACCTTTTGATCTTTGTTCAATACAACCCGCTCCTATTATGTGGCCTTTTGGTCACTGCTCCCTATCTACTATGCAGATTTAACAATTTATTTCTTGTTTGTATCCCCGCCCTTAAATTTGTATCCCCGCCCCTTTTCCACGAATGGTTTATCCCTCAAATAAACACATCCACCCAATGATGCTAACAGTTTATGTACCCTGGAACTAACCAAATGAATCGTACGGTCGTAACCCATTTGTCAGATACCCCCGTTGTCAGACACCCCAGTTCTTATACAGTGGGTACTACATCGGTATGGACATTGGTGATGTGAATTTACATGTACATTTATGTATCTTTTTTCTGAACCCTTGTGCATGTTGATGACACTGTCCTCTTTGCAGATTCTGCAACTAAACTCCACAATACATAAGATACTTTTAAAAGTTATTGCATTATCTGGAAATTAGACGTAAACCTGCAAAAGACTAAAGTTTTGATCTTTGGAAGCGGGCCGTCCAAAAACAGAAGGTTGTTTTTTCTATTTGGAGAATACGGAAATTGATATCGTGAAACAAATATACGTACATAGGTGTTCTATTTAGTAGAAACGGAATTTTCAAGCCAGAAATAAAATGTTTAGCGGACAGTACATCTAAAGACATGTATTCTAAAAAATCTAGAAATTATAATATTCCTTTGGATTGTTTACTTTAGGCTTTTGATGAAATGATATTTCCAATATTATTATATGGCTGTGACATTTGGGCATACGAAAATATGAACATAATTGAAAAGAAATTTATAATTCGTTAAGCTAGCCTGTGGTCTTAGAAATGCGACCCAAAGTTTTATGGTTTATGGAGAACAAGGCAGACTACCTTTATCGATTTATGGAGCTAACGGTATTTTTTGGCATAAACTTTGTAAAACCGGACCTGCAATAAAACTATCGCAACTTATCTATAATTTGCTCATTTGCAATTTTTATCTAATAATGAACAAAATGCCTGGATAAAAAACGTGAGGCAAATACTTAATTACTGTGGTCTGTCCTATGTATTTTAAATGACCCAAAAAGCGTTTCAAGCCAGTGGCTAGCTGTCCGGATAGAAATAACTTTAAAAGATTCTTAAGGTACAATAGGATTGTGTAGTCTTCCCTTACTCTCAAAATAGATTAAACTGATGAACCATTTGACCATAAAAACAACTTAGATTTGTAGGTTCCCACCCCAGCTTCCTATGAGAATATTGAAGGTTTTCTCAATTTACATGATTGTACTAAATTGAGCATATATTCGTCAGAGATATCTGAATTGACCATAAACATGGAAGGTGGGCAGAAAACTAACTTACATCGTAGAGAGGTTCATTTTCAAAATCACCTCTACAGCTAAGTGAAGGTGATGCTACCAAAAGTGGCAATATTGACACATCCTTTTTTCATAGATTGAGTAAATAAATGTATTTGTTTTGACATATGAAACCTATGTTGCTTAACGTCTATCAAACATACTCAGCAGCAATCGTTTAATTTATATCAAACGTAAAGAACAAAAGAAATCAACATCCAATGTACAAATTTCTAAAGTGTTTTGTTTTATAAAAAATATATGTATATATAAACATACAAATAAGTTTAAAGCAAAATGAACCTTGAACTAATAACATCAAAAATGAAAAGCAGAATCAACATATAAAAATGTGATTCTATAATTTATTTATCTTATTGATTGTTTTGAAACACAGAAGTGAAAATTCTTTTCATGAAAAGAAGAAGATAGCACGGGGTATGATCGGGACTAAGCCATTTTACCACATGGGTAACAAGCCTTAGAAAGTAGAAGTCAAACGTGGCATCTGTGATTTTAAGGTATCTGACAAATGGAGTGTACCAATCGTACATGCATTACATTTATTTTGGCATTTGGTTACTGATGACCTATACCCTGTTTTTTAAACTGTATGAATAATGTTGTTACGCCTAAATATGTTTGATAAAATTTGTTATTAAAAAAAGAACTTTCCATTCATATCATGAAATGTCCTCGATTAAAACAAATATTTAATATTATACCACGTATGTTGTAAATTTCTGGACATCTTCGAATTATGATTTATAACTACTCACAGAAATGAACGTCTACTCACAGAAGACGTCCAATGTAATCTGGCAGCCTGCTACACCAACGACGTTCTCTACTTCACAGGTGTAGACATCGCCATCAGTTCGCATAACATGGGAAATTGTGAGATCAGGTGATGATACAGTCCCACCGCTATACCGGGGATTGGATACATCCAGTACAACCCCGTTCTTTCTCCATGTCACATTTCTCAGGGATGGCAGAAAACTAACCGAACATCTAAGGGTTTGTGTTCCATTTTCACACACTGTATAGCTGCGGTTGGTGCAGTTGTCTATATCTGTGTAGAAAAAATGTATTAAATATGTTTAAGGATAACTGAGTATCCTACAATTTGTCCAACATTGTCAACTACCCCTGTATGACAATAAAGTGGGTTTTTCATTGTTCAAACACAGTCAAAGCATCAATGACCTTCTGGTATTGGATAATTTTGTCATCGTCAAACTAAGCCTTTAATCACTGAGGATGAACAGAATACTGTCAAGTATACTGAACAACAAAAGTTCCTGTGACATTGAATAAGATTTAATGCAAAGTTATGGGTTTTTTTTTTACCAAATTTGAAACAATTTCGGTTTGCAACAGATAAAAGACTCATGTAAGAGTTCCAATGGTTTAATTTGCCATACTGACATCAGAAAATGCATGATTTCATAAAAAAAACATGAACATGCCAAAATGTCAATTTACAAATCAATAACGTGTGTGTCCACTTCTGGTTGCGATGCAAGCAACACATTTTCGTCTCATGGAATGGACTAGGCGTCGCACAAAGTCATGTGGGAGCATGTTTCGAAGCTCCTGGAGTGTCTGTGGAACACGTGGTTGATGTCGAAGGCGACGATCCATCTCATCCCACATGTGCTCGATTGGTGAGAGATCAGGGGAGCGAGCCGGCCAGGGAATGACAATCACGTTGTTTTGTTGAAGAGAATCCTGAACAAGTCGAGCAATATGAGACCGGGCGTTGTCATGTTGAAAGGTAATACCTGGCCCATGTCGACGCAAAAACGGAAGAACAACAGGGCCGATGATCTCGTCGCGGTAGCGCTGTCCATTGAGTTGGTTGGTTGGTTGGTTTGTTGTTTAACGCCACACTCAGCAATATTCCAGCTATATGACTGCGGTCTGTAAATAATCGAGTCTGGACCAGACAATCCAGTGATTAATATCACGAACATCGATGCACGCAATTGGGATCTATGACATGTGTCCACCAAGTCAGCGATCCCGTTAGTCGCCTTTTACGACAAGCATAGTCGCCTTTTACGGCAAGTATGGGTTGCTGAAGACCTATTCTACCCCGGAATCTTCACGGGTCTGTCCATTGAGATTTCCCTCTACCACTAACAAACGGGTCCTCTGTCTTGCTGTAATCCCACCCCATGCCATAACGCTGCCGCCCCCGAACCGATCTTCTGCAATGACACAATGATTGACGTAACGTTCACCTCGACGTCGTACACTTGAATCCGTCCATCGCTGTGGCTGAGGTGAAAACGAGACTCGTCAGTGAATAGAATTTGTCCCCACTGCATGGCCGTCCAGACGCTGTCTGCGCCACTGTAGACGTGCTTGACGGCGGTTTCCTGTCAAAATGGGATGTCTGGCGGGTCTTCTGGCGACAATCCCAGCACATCTGAGGCGGCGACGTATGGTTTGGGAAGTCATTCGTCGAAGGCCAGGGATGCTTCTTGACGTCACTGTTGCTGGTTGGAATCGATTTCGTAGGTGTGTTGTTCGAATCCAGTTGTCTTGTCGATTATTGGTTACGCGTGGCCTGTCACTCCGAGGATGGTCTCTGACTGCATTCGTCTGTTGCCAACGTTGCCATAAACACCAAATGGTGTTTCTGTCGACGTTAAATTGTGTTGCAACATCACGTTGACTCGATCCTGCTTCAAGCATACCAGTGGCTCGTAGACGCTCATTTTCGGACAGGCGTGGCATTTCGTTATGTTGAATAATTGCGTAATTTTGTGGTTTTTCTGAGTGGTTGTTGTCAGCACGATGCTAAACAAGGCATATGGAATTCCGTTAACGCACATGTTTTTTATAGCCATTCTTGGGTAGTGAAATGCATTGGGCTTGCATAATTAAAAGTCAACTTTTGCATGGAATGTATGCTTTTCTGTAGCAGTTGCGTTTTTGTGACTTGATTCCATACATGTACTACAATATTGAAAACCAAACTTTACTTGTTTAAAAAAAAAAATACACTAAAATTTTGGTGTCACAGGAACTTTTGTTGTTGAGTATATGTTATCGCTCACAAAGAGGGTAAATATCAAGTGGATAACTTTTGGTAGGATCGGGAACATTTATCTACAGAACAGTACATATAGGATGTCAAAAAATGCGTAATCGTGTAGCTTCTGTCCACAAAGTATATGAGAAATCGAAGCTGTGATCTACTTCACTTTCATTGTTGCTCATACATGACAACGATTCACACCTTCATACCTATACAACGATGCTGATTTTGCACCAACCTTCACAAGCTCAATCAGCTCAATCTTAACGAATCGGCAACTTTTCACATCATACCCCCACATTCCAACAGCTTTTACCCATCAATACATCCAAACTTTTCATCACCAACAAATATTAATGATCCTTTTGGTTCCGGTCTTAATTAAAAACTGCGGCCTCTCTGGTTGTTTATTCTTTTGTTTTCATTGGATTACATAATGGTGTAATGCTTTTATCACCAACGATTATCGGAGGCTCTGTCCAGGAGGCTAACGTACCGTAAAATAAGTGTCCCTCTGTGTGACACGTAATTCCTATAATAATCGATGTAACTATCATCAACCAGTGTGTTAAGCCAACTCATTGCTGAGTATTTTTTTATATTGGTTAGTAATGAGCACAACCACCAGTAGCTAAAGTGATGACGTAAATCCTGCGGCAGGAAGTCCCCATGATCCCAAGCGAGTAGGCTCAGCTTACGTGGCTGATGGCATATAGCCTGTGTTTTAAACTGTATACATTATGTTGTTATGCCCAAATACGTTTGATAATTTTTTTTTTTAAATATAACTTGTGAATATATCGACCTGTTCTTGTCGTTATATAGCTGAAATAATGCCGATGCGACGTAAAATGGTAACTCACTCGCATGTTGGATTCGATGTATCAGTAAACCTACAAACATAGATTTCCTACAACTCTAGCTTTTGTTTCTGGTAGGTTTCGATGACGAATCACATCTTTTGGTTAATTTACTTTTGTTTACGTGTACATCAGGTTTCCTGTTGGATTGCATATCTGGAAACCTGCACACAACCAGTTGTGTGCAGTTTTAAGTCACATACTCACACGCAACTCGATATGTACCTCTCCACAATCATGCCACATTCCACACTGAAGGACGCACTGGTTATGTCTGACTAAAATGAGACACGGATGTCCACCATTTGTATCCTTAGTGACTTTGTGACATCTAACCCGTACGATATGGAGCGGTCACTGGTTTGTCTGGTGTCACATTCTCAGTAGCAGATTAACATGATACAGAAATAACATTGTTAACTCATATGTTCAGATTCACTTATTTACTGATGTACAATGTTTACAAAGTCACAATTGAAGTTACAATGAAGGACTCGTAGATATTGAGAAAAAGTTTTAAAAGTACATGATCCGTCCAGTGACATTGATAACATATTTTGCACCCGTAAAATTAAGTGAGTGAGTGAGAAAGTGAGTTGGGTTTAACGCCGCTTTTAACAGTATTCCAGTTATATCGTGGCGTGTCAGCTTAATGTGGGAGGAAAGCCCGAAGTGATGCAGGTCTAAGACGTTTACCACTTCGGTGAAACCCACGAGCGCGGGCATGGTGCTGACAAACCTAGAAACATAATTGGGGCGAACCGGGATTCGAACCCACAATCAGAGGTTTCTGGCGTGCCAAAGGGACGCAATTCTGCACAGCGAATCGCGGCGTCTTAGCCGACTGGGCCCCCCGTGCCCCCCGTAAAATTAAGAGTAATTCATATATGATATTGCCCTTGTCCTGTTTCAACTCCTACTGTATTTGTTATGCTTGTCAATGTGCTCCTTTGACCTGTATGTCATTATCGGATAAATGTAACTAAAGAGAGGTCATCTAAAGGATCAAGACCCCAATTGACACTGACAATGAACACTGATTAATAAACCATGAACTGATTCGCTAAGCAACTGTAAAACAGCTATGACAGAAGACAGCTAAATCAACACACAAGACCATCGACAAGACGTATAGACAGCCAATTAAGCAGGCTGTGACCAATTATCACCTGGATGTTAATTAACTCAACAATCTAACGAGGGAATAACTCAACCTTAGAACAACCCTATTACCAGACTACTTTTGTTAGTATCCTACTGTGCATAAATACTTAAACTACTTAATGAATTGTGATTTTAAACCTCTTCTTACAATGTTATGTAAATATATAAAGAATGGACTCGCACTGCTACAATGAGTGATCTACATGCCACTACATAACAATATAGTACCTTAATGTATAATTATTTACGCAGGTATGCAAGCAAATATGATGTATATATTGTATGCAAATATGTATGTATATATTGTATAATGTATGTATATATAATGCATATTATATTTTAATTCAAAATTGCTTGTATTGTGCTACATTCGTTGTACAATCGTATTATACCTCGTAACGTATGTTCTCTATACCACTATTGTGTGTTTTTGAGAATAAACTCTGTTCTGTTCTGTTCTGTTCCGTTCTGTTCAATAACCTTGACTTGGTTAGATAGGGAGAATGAGCACTGTGGGCCTATCCCTAACATATGTCTCTTGGACAGTTGAGATTAGACGAACACCCATATTTAAGCTTTGTCTTATAGACTAAAGTCGCTTGAAGTGAACAAGGAAATTCTAGACTTCCCGAAAATACAGATACTTGACCTTCAGAGAGTTGAGACTCACAACAATACAAAGTTACTTGATTGAGTAACGTGACTCACAATTAAAACGGTTATCCCCATGAGAAGGTATGCAAGACCACATCATTCAAAGAAAAAATGCTTACCATGGTTTTGATCGTAGTAATTTGTGAAGTTTAAATAATGGATAAATTGTGTTCCATCGCAAGCACTTGAAGGGATGGTGTAAAGCAGATGTATCGTAAGTCCCCATGGGCTCTAGTATGGTGGTCCAGCTTTCTTTGCTGGTTGTCTATTGCCCGTTTTTTTTATAATTTTGTTGTTAAATGATTCTTTATTCTTTTAAATGCGCACAAAATAGTTTTAAATATA